GCGGTAAACGGCGTTGGATAGCCCCAACGGGGAACTACCTTGTGACCCAATTTCATTGACCTCGTTCAAACCGATGACGTCACAGGTCAGGTCAAAAGTCGAATTTTCACCGTTTACAGGCATTTCAAGAAATGCGTTGTAAAATCGAGTAAAATGCATTTCATTGAAAATCATCGACGGGGAAATGTTCTTCAAACACATATTTTGCTATTTGAGGTCACTCATACCAGGTCAGGTCACAGAGGTCAGGTCACTGGGGGGGGGGGGGGGTCACAATATGAAAGTGTCGTGTGATACATGTTTTATGGTCCATTTAACATGACAAATGCGATTATGTGGGTCAGGCAGACTTTAGGGCCGGCTTAGGTCACGTTTTGGTCAAGGTCAGGTCAAGGTCAGGTCAAATTAGGTCAAATTTCGAAGTTGATATTTTTGCATAAAATGGGTATCGATTCGATGCCGCTCGTCACGGGGAGTTCAATGGTGGTCTCCGTTTTGCGCTACGAGGTCTTGAATTGCTAAAAATTAAGTTCAAAAATTTGACGTCATCAATTTTTTAACAGTTTTTTCGCTATAACTTGGCCAAAAAAAAGAGGCATCGATCTAAAATTTGTGATATATATCGAAGAGCGCAGGGACTATCACATATATTCCGTTTTTTTCGAAGTTCGAATTTTTTGGAATTTTTTTGAGTTTTTCTGAAAAAAATCATTTTTTTATTTTGTGGGTCAAAATCCCAAAATTTCGAAAATCCGAGATAGCAGTTTTGTAGCGCCGACTTTTTTCTACACAACCATAGAAAGAACTTTAAAATTGCTTGTTAACTGTAGAATTGGTGAGCGTTTCAAGATGTCATGTTTTTTGCTCATTTTTACTCGAACATGACCTCAGTTTGACCTCAATAACTCCTGACCTGAGGTGACCTGTGACTTGAAATTTTGTGTGAAGGTGTCAAATTGATGGCCGGTAAGGTACCCAAAATTTGGCGGCGCTGCGTGCCGCCGTTTTCTCGCTATTTAAGAAAAACCACAGGGGGGCCAAAATGGCCCCCCCCCCCATCAGGGCGCGGGTTAAAACAGGGTCCAGGCCTTAAAAACAAGTTTTCCTTATCCATTATTCCTAGCTACTTTGGTATTTCACAATAAAACAGGATATCTTTTCACCTTGAGACGTTAATATTTGTGAGCAGTATTCATGCATAAATTCAAGTACATCGTTGGACAATGAGATATTCACTTCTTGCAACGGCAAAATAGTTGCTTGAACACTGAAATCAGTTGAAGACCCGTAGAACCTAGCTAAAGTGAGAAACTTGTTCACTTTTCAACAGAAGACCATTCATCGAAACCCAGGCATTACTAGGCACTTCTTAGCGGGTTCAAGTCATAACTGTCACTCGGCGAGCAAACCGTCCACGCTACCAGACCTGGATAAACGTTTGAACGAGATCTGGCCATAAAAGATCTTCTGTGCCAGACAAAAAAAAAATAACTTTCTTCCTGAACAGCACAGTTATCATCTGCCAGCTGTCTTGCCGGCAGCGCCACAAACCAGCGACACCTCTCACACTATCGCGCAAATTATTACTAGCTCACACTTGCTCTCCCTCTCACTCTCTCTCAGACACTCACTCTCATCTCTCTCTCTCTCTCTCTCTCTCTCTCTCTCTCTCTCTCTCTCTCTCTCTCTCTCTCTCTCTCTCTCACTCTTTCGCTCTCTCACCCGCCCGTCAACGGTACGTAACAAATCGCCGGCAGGTTGGCCTCCTCACACTCATACAACTGAGAACGGCCTTTCCACGGAAAACGCATCGTCCAGCAAGCACACATCACCAACTGACACTGAGGACTCTTGGCTGGGTAACCAGCGAATTCAAAGCCGTCTTCAAAGTCGACCCAGGCGCGGCGGAGGCGGCGCAGCGGCTCCGTTCGCGCCGCACTCATGTAGCGTTGAAGAAGAGCTTCGTAGGCCTCGAGCGCCATGGTTTCACTGGAGAGACGGGCTACCCCAGCGCCTGGTGCCTGTTCGGAGCAGTAACGACGCATCCGCGAATGACCGGCGCCGGGTCGGGTTACCAGGAAACATCCCGTGGTTCCCTGGTGCCAAGTCAGGCCATGGTGTCCCGAAGGACATCGAGAGTTGTCTGGTTCCTTTTGGAGATGAGGACATTCTTCGAGACATGCTGCCAGAGAGGCTCGAGAGGCGTTCAGCTCTGGCGTCAGCTTACCCAGGGCGTGTTTAGCCAGCACGTGACTGGACTTGTGGTAGAGCAAGCGGTCCTGACACAGCTCCAGCTCTGCTCTGTCACTGCGTAGCTTCGTACGCAGGTCACCGATGAAGTCCACGGTGGCGTTGATGTTCTGCTGCAACATGGCCGTCTGGCCTTCACAGAGATCCGTCCGAAACTTCCACTTGTCCAGGTCCGCCCAGCAGCCCGCCACGTCGTGTTCCAGCTCTTCGGACACGTCGTGGCAGACGGTGATGTTGTCCTGACACGTGGAGAGCTGCGTCTCGCAGTCGATGACGGCCTGCTCGCGCTGACGGTGGCTGATGCGTCGTGTGGTGACGTTCACTAGAAGATCGTGGTGGATGGTGTGCGCCCTGTCTAGAGTGCTCTCACAGCGCGTGACGCCCCGGTTTAGCGAGGTGAGGACAGTGGAGCACCCAGCTAGCTGGTCAGTGACCTGCTGAAGCTCTGCGCTACTCTGGTTAGCCTTGACGAGGGTCGTCTGTAGTCTGTCGCACACATCCGATTCCTGGCATTGGAGGAAGAGCGAGCGACAGTTTCCGATTTCGTTTTGCAGCATTTGATAGTTGTCTTCCGCGCTTTGTATCAGTTTTTGTCTTTGTAATGTGGCCTCGTGTAACTCTGGCAATGTGTTCACCGAACAGTTAAGTTCATCCCTAATTAGACTACCAAGTTCAGAGTTGCATGTGATTAAGCTTACAACATTCTTCGCTTCAACATGACTTGTCTTGTTTCCGTTGCTTATCGAAAAGTTATCTAGTCGTTCTTCGCTTTGCTCAATGATTTCGGACAAATTCTTCAACTGATTTCGAACCTTATTGATTGCACTTTTGTTTTCTGCGACAATTTCAGTAAGATTTTCTTTCACCCGCTCAAGTTCCTTATGTCTGCTTTCCAGCCTTGACCGGTGACTCGTCATATTCTCAAGCTGTTCTTGAAGCAGAGCAATATCTGCTCTTAGAGCATCTACCTTAGATGAACCTCGAGACATACCATCGTTGCAATCGTTGACCTTTTGCAGAACGTTTTGTAATAAAGCTTGCATGGATAATTTTTGTAGCTTAGCGAGCTGGTGGTCAATCCTCGCCATAAGAAGTCTTCGGTTGGAGCAGTGGTGTGCGTCCTGCTGTAGCTCATGCTTCCTTTGACATACACTTCTCAAATTGTAAATCCTCTTTGCCTTGAGAGCGCAAAGAAATAGCGCTTTTGGTTTCAAGACCGATTGGTCATTTGATCGTTTCTCTATTCCTGATAAGTTATAAGAATAATTATCATGATTATTTACTGTGAGCTGACCAGATGGCCAGACAAATAAGAGCACGATAAAAATGATTAGCTGCATCGCAGTTATAGAAGCCCACTCACAGGTATGAATCGAACTCAACTAACAACTTGATGATGACTTTATGGCCTAGGTGGGATACAGCCCGGGAAACACGTCATCGCAGATGACGCTTCCTACATTTTTGTCTTCTTGTATTAACCATTTACCTGTGACTAGATAAGACTGAGTTTTGAAGATATAAAATAGTGTGCTTTGGAAATACTTTCGTCTGCATGCACCTTGCGTATAAATTGTCATTCGTCATTACGAATGATTATAAATACCTTTTGGCACGCGATATACAAGGCAGGTAACCTTCCACCAAGTGGAAGACTGAAACCATTCATGTTTTTATTCGGCTCTTGGGCCAAATCTTACCAAATGCCGTGAATGCACATTCACGGCATTTGGTAACATTCAGAACTATTCCACATTCACTTATACATTCGTTCAGGCAACATTCAGAATCATTGACGCTGTCAAAATCATTGGACAAGATTAGCTGGATGTAAATAAAAGGGATATCTTTGATATCAGTGCCGTAAACTCCGGCCAGTGCTGCCAAATCCTATTTACGGCATTGGTAAGATTGGGCCTTGGCCCAATCTACAATTATATAACAGATAAGGTCCAATTATATAACAGATAATACTAAACTAATATTTAGAACTAGAACTAAATAATGAGGATTCGGGTTCATTCTGGTCAGAGACGTTTAAAGGTCGTTTGAAGACCATCGTCCAACTAAATACGCATAAATTTTAGTCGTATGCCTCTTTGATTATTTCAAACATTTCAAGCGGTTCTTATTTTTAATCTCCATCCTTAGCGTCTTCTATACCATGGTATGTATTTGCTTTGCGAGACACATTCAGCGCCGCACGTGTCACGATTCATTTGTGATCAGAAATGTGTCGGTAAACGTCATCACCCTTTCACTTCTCTAGGTCTCGGGTTTTATGGGTACCGTCGTTCTCATACTGCCCTGATCAAAAACATTTTCGTCGCACAACCGACTGAAGACATGAATAAACGTGATACCTAAAGCTGGTCTAAGAAAACTCACGAACAATGAAATGAAGCAAACAAATCCAGTGCAAACCGGTAGCCCCAAATAGCCGCCACCTTCCTGTTGTTCGCACGCACCGGAGGTGATATACGGATATGTCCGTCTGTTTGTATGTCCTTTGGGTGCTGGGAGACCGGGGTAGACATACCCCCTCCCCTATTGACCGCCGTGTTGGCGTCACAGGTTACCCTGGTGACCTGACCGTGCCTCGAAGGCACGTCGTGTGCAGCAGCCAGTGGCGTCAGCTAGCTCATAGGGTTAGCACTCTCTGAACACGGCTCTGGAGAGAAAGAGCTCCTGAAACAGATAAACAGAGTAGAGAGGAGGGAAAAGGGACGCCATAACATCCTTATAGAATATCGAAGAGAAGGGACTGAAATTTATAGACGAAAAGTGTCAAAAGTGCATTGAGACGTCATGAAACAGACGGTTTACTTCGTATGTTTGACAGGTGAGTTGAGACGCTCCTAATATAATATTGGCAACTCTTCACCTATGTAGTGACCGATTTCGTATGTTTTGTTTTTGTGGCAACTTATTGCAAAGACAGTCATTTGCTTATATAATCTGGACAAGTATTGTAGGTATTGAGAGTACCTTATGAAATTCACGGTGCAAATATAGAAAATACATGTACATACAAATACATGTAACTTTTTATGTTTGTATCGTGAATTTCATACGGTAAAATCCTACTCTCAAAACAAAGCAATCTGCTTCGAGTCATTTACCCGCGTACAAGACTTGGGTAATGGGTATTTTCCAAATGTTCGAAGTTTGAGAAGACTCTACATAGATATGACTCCTTTCTCCAAAACTGCTGGTCGGATTTTCAAAATTTAAACGTTTTTAGTTGATTTGATAGTTGTTAATAGTTTGCATTAGTTATATTCCGTGACCTAAAGGCACGAGCGTCATTTTCAAAAAATGAAGTTTGAACTGTAATTTTCAGGATAGCAAGACCTCTAAACTACGCAAGGCCTAGAACTGTTCCCGGTCGTTTGTTTCAGTGCTCGCAGCACCCACTGCCGCCTTTGTCATCGGCTCTCGGGCCTCCAGCTCCGACCCGGCGCTGACCGGTCGGCGTCTGCTCTCGCTCAGCGACTCCCAGCTCAGCGCCACACCAGCACCAGCCGACACCAGCGAGCCTCTGGGTGACCTGGTGCCCGTCTCCCAGCCGCCGACCATACCACCGGGCGCACTGGCTCCTGAGGCACCGGCGGGAGACTCGCAGGCGCCCGCCTACCTAGTCCACTCTCACAACACAGACCACGGCACCTTCTCACACGTGCATCACTATGATAATATCAATCATAAACACGAGAAAAAGTGCATGGGAAACGGTAAATCCTGCTGATCTCTTCCACTTGATCGGATCAAGAAAAGGAGGATGGGATGTACACTTTTTGGTAAAAGACAAGCCAGCCTGACTGTATGTGTTGTGGTGTATTCTTCACTGTATGGGGTATTGCTAGAAATTCCAGAGGAGGATGTAGTTTTATTAGTAGCTTATTGTCTGTAGTTAACCGCGCCATTCTATAGCAGCCAAAAATGTGTGTACTTCTTCGATTGCATGGCCGGTCGATTCCTTCTAGTCATATTCGACTGTACTTGCTCTAAGTTTCTTCTAAACATTATGCGTCGATTTTCTACCATCAATCAGGAGTCCGGGTCAGTTGAAACATTAGAAACTCATTAATCGCCTATACGCTGAAGAACACACACAAAACACCAATCATTAAAAATTCCACACCACCGAAGACTTGTGTATGTCGTCCAAGATCTGTTGCACGAACTGTGACAAGGCGGGGTGGGTGCGAGGCACTGTGTGATGTTTTTTATGATCTATCTCTTCTTTGACATATCTGAGCTAGGTAAACGTTGTGTGAACTTAAGCAAAGCGTTGTGAGCCCGGTAGGTATAATACTGGTGCTGAGGTATCATCGTGCCTATTATATTGCGATGCTGTGGTGTAGTCATGTATCATGAAGTTGTAAGGTAAGCTAACAACACCCAACAACACGTAGAATAGTTATTGGAGTGTTACTGCTAATTTGTCATGCATTTTACTGTCTGCATGAGTGAGTACGTACTATGTACGGTGTACTTATGTTGTGTTGTTGAGCTATGTGGCTCGAATTAGGTCGATAACATTCTACGTTAGTTAGACTATGTTCGAATTTGTTTAAAGTTAGCTTCGTGTGATTGCACGAAGCAGAGTAGGACACATGTTCTTATGGCTAGCGCCAGAAAAAAATATTACGCCCTTCACGATTCGCGATTCAGCACGGAGGACATTTCGTCTCCCACTTCTGATTGCGTCCGGTAAGAGGTATTTGAAGCTAATAGCACACAGCTGATCAGAGAGTAGATCAGAGAGTAGAGCTACTCTCTACTCTCTGTAGACTCTCTACTCTCTACTCTCTCTCTACTCAGTAGAGCTACTCTCTACTCTCTGCTGGGCGTCGACCGGACCAGCGAGCTCCGCTCGGGGCACTTCTACATAGCTCCATCAGCGGCGCTGCAAGACGAGGTATCACACAACCGCTCGGAGCTGGAAGAACCATCCTGAAGGTCTCCAAGCACATGAGAATGATGATAATTCTTGTTCTTGAACGGCGCAACATCTTTATCATAACTAAGACATGGCTCGATGAACATCAGAGTGTGTCTTGGTCTTGTGAACTGCATTTGATTTCGTCGCCACCGTGGGCCTTTTAGCACCGACGTGACCTGCGTCGAGAGATCTCGCTGTCCTGCA